CTCTGGTGGGGTGCACTGTGGCCTACCTCTTCCAAATATGGTTCTGTGTCACAGGCAATGGGGTAGGGGGCAGGCTCCAGTTCTGTCCAGCCCTTGTCTGTACATCTGCGGCTCACGTTGTGGCCTTGGGGGAGGAGAGAGGTTGAGGCCAGGGGAGGGGCAGGCCCGTGGAGTAGGCATGGGGCCTGGCTGTCTCTGCCCTCAGCCCTACTCCCGTGAACCTCTGCTGTGTCAGACTCCCACCTAGACCCCAGGGCATCATGGGGGAACCTGGGGCAGGGAGAAGCCTTCCCTCTCCCCTCCTTTCCCCCCTCCTCCCGGCTGCCAGGGCATTCCTGGGCTCAGCCCTGCCCCTTGTCATGTCTGAACCTGACCCCAGGTGCAATGTAAGCTCTGATCCTTGTCCCAGGTAGCCTGGATCCTTGGCTCTCTGAATGATCCCTGACCCTTGCCATGAGCTAAATGCTGACCCTTGTCACAGGGCCTGGTGTGGCAGATGACTTCTTTGTCCTGTGGGTCCAGACGGCAGCCCTCTGACCTGGCCACTGCTCCTGGGCCAGCCTGCCTGGGCCTACGGGCCTGGGTTTCCTCCCACACCTGGTGGGGCTCAGGCGAGGAACCACAGGTGAGGCAGGAGGCGGGCATGGCTGGGGGACACCTGATAATGGTGCCGATCTATAATCCACATAAATGGAGAAGCAGGGAGTTCCCGGCAGGGGAACCTGCCCAGGCAAAGGCATGTGCAAGGGGACTCAAGCAGCACAGCACCGCACAGCAGGATCTTGGGGCTGAACCATGTGGATCCTGGGGCTCCAGGCAGCTTCAGGATGTTGGGGGCGGGGCGAGGGGAGGAGGTGTCCTTAGACCCCCTTAACACAGACTTGAGTTTTTTCAACCAAAATAGCCATCACACTAAAAGAGGCTCTTCAAAGAGTTGAAGGTAAAAACCAGATTAAAGGCATGCAGACCACGACTTAAAGGACTAGGCCCCCCGGAACATTTTGGTCCTTCAATGAGTGGCCCACCCCCACCCAGGTACTCTGACCCCGTTTGGGAAAATGACTTCTTTCGGACCCTTCGCAATCTTTATCTTCCACAAGGTCTCTTCAGCTCTCATTGTAGAACCAGGTCCCTTCCAACCCTTCCAGGGAGAACACGTCTTCCCGGGTCCTGGTACCCCAGGAGCTGGCGTTGGCATCACCCCTCCCTGCACTTCCCTTCCTCAATAACTTCCCTTTTTGGAACTTTAGGCCAGTTGCTCACACCTTCTTCACCTAGTTGCCCAGGAAAGCACACCCTGTTTCCTTTACATTCCCGGCCCCTACCCCTGTCTCCTACTTGTCTCTCATTCTCAGAGGCACTTGCACAGCCAAGGAGAGCTGAGCAGGCTGCTCACTGCACCAGGCGGGCGCCTGGCTGATGGGGACGGGGCTGTTTTCCTTTATACTCAGCTGGCCACTAGGTGGGTCTGTGAGAGGCTGGCTCTGTCTGAGGAAGGGCAGCCCTTTTCTCATCGGCACAAAGGCACCCCGTGGCCCCCCGGGAGGCGGGTGCCCTCGGGATTAGTCAGATGGTGGGCTGCAGTCCAGGTTCTCAAGTGAAGGAGCTGCTTCGATAATCCCAGCAGGGCCAGAAGGAAGAGCCGGCAGGAGGAATGCAATTAGCGGGTGTCAGGAAGGAACGTCATTAGTAGGCGCTTCCAGGGATCCAAGAGAAGGCTGGGTGCCAGGCCGTGCTGATGGGACCTGGGGGAGTAACTCATCTCCCACCTGCCCCCGGGCTGGGCTCCCCTGGAGGAGTGCTGGGCTGGGTGGGTGCCACCTGGAATATGACACGCCTGTGATCGCTCCCAGATTCTGCAGGGAGGGCCTCGGGGTCTCTCCGTCACGGCTGAGGGCACACCACTGGGGGGCAAAACTGGCCTGTCCCCAAGAAGCCACTTGGTCCACCTCCCATGCCTACTTTACAAACAGGGAGACTGCGGTCCAGAGAGGGAAAGGCCACCCCGAGTGAGAGGTGCCCGGAGTCTTTGTGTGCACCCCTCGAATCCGTATCTAGGTTCTGCTCCTCCCTACGTCCTCCCTGCCGCCGCTCCAGTCCACCTTGTCCCACCAATGTTGATTCTCTCCAGATGCTCCCACAACGGGATCTTTGTGTGGCGGCTCCCCCCGCCCCCCCACTCCAGGTCTTCAGTTCCTGTCCCTGAACATCTGCTTTACGTTGCACCCCTTTCCCCTTCCCTCTCTGGGCACCGTTTACCATTTAGGACACGTATGTCTTTTTTGCTCAATGTCTCTCCAACTAGAACATTAGCCCCCTGTGGGCAGACGGGGTGGCTGTCTTCTGCCCCCCACCAGCGCATGTTGGTCTAGCCCAGTGCTGGCCATGTTAGTAGGTGCTGAATGAACATTCACTGAATGGAAGGATGGCTGGCGGACCACATTACGCGGTCAGCCTCTTTAACTATTCACTAGCAAGAGAGCCCACTTCCTCAAGAGGCTCCCTTCTCTTTCTCCCTTGTATGTGAACATCCATTTAAGCAGAACACGACGAGGTGTGTAAGCAAGGCCATGCGGTGATTTCATGGAGCCGGAGAGGGCACTGGCTCCAGGCAGCGAAAGACTGAATCAAGTGCAGACCGGGACAACGGAACACGGGAGCCATGGTTTAATCAAGTACCTGTCAGTCAATCAGTTATTAATTGCTGAGCAAATATTTAGTGAGCCCTTCCCACATGGTTATCTTTATGTGAAGAGTTAAATCAAATCCCGTAAGTTCTTCAAAGACCTAGTGCCAGAGCATCCTCTTCCAGGAAGGCACCCTGATTGCTCCAGCCCCTTTGACCCTCTCCCTTTCCTTCTCATTTCCCCGGGAGGTGAGACTCCACTCTAGTCCACGCCACTTGTGCCACCCAGCTCCCTCACTTGAATCCAGGGCTCTTACCTTGAAGAGGGTAGAATAACCTGTAGATGAGGGGACAGGCCATGACGACCACCTGGCCCCGAGGGGTGGCTGGCCAGCAGGTGATGTTGTCCCACATCCTGCTGCAGCCTGTGGGGTAACGGCAGGGGACACATGGGTCAGCATGGCCACCAGGTGCCTCCAGCCACTCTTCTTCCTCCTCCTCCTCCAGGCTCCCACCTCGAGGAGCCTGTGGTCTGAGAGGGGAGGCCCAGCCCCGCCCAGGCTGTGCAGGGCCCGACCCGACAGGGCGCGAGGAGGAGGCAGACTACAGCTCCACGGTCCTCAGCGAGGGGCAGAGCGCCCCGGGGGTATTTTGGACAGTCGTGGGGGATTTCTTTGTTGCAGGTTGGGGGCCTCACCCTGCATTTGATGGGCAGGCACCAGCTCCAGCGTGGCCCTGCACAACGATGAATTGCAGAGCTTCTGCAAGACTATCAAGTGAGCCCTGGCTGGCTTGGCTCAGTGGATAGAGCGTCAGCCTGCGGACTAAGGGGTCCCAGGTTCGATTCCGGCCAAGGGCATATGCCTGGGTTGCAGGTTCCATCCCCAGTAGGGGGTGTGCAGGAGGCAGCCGATCAATGATTCTCTCTCATCATTGATGTTTCTATCTCTCTCTCCTTCTCCCTTCCTCTGAAATCAATAAAGAAATATATTTAAAAAAAAAAAAAGACTATCAAGTGAGCCACTGGGCCCTTGCATCGGTGAAATTCTGTTGCAATGACCAGAGCCTGGACTCACTCCATTTCCCATACAAACACAAGGTATTTATGGCACGTGTAACATGCACAGTTTTCCCGGAGTGCAACTACTGAGTAAAGGGAGAGAAGGCTGGGCTTTGGCGCGTTCTGAACTTTACTGAAAGTTGTTTAACGTTTTGGAAAAGCATGTTCCCTACAGCAATGCTGCCCATGACATCTGAGCCAGGGATGCAACCACCGGCTATATACCAACCTCCATCCATAGCCCTCCCATTCCCTGAGGTTATATTTATAGGTCCAATCTTCTTATCTTCCAGTGGGATCAGGCCTGGCTTTGTTAGAGAATATTTAATTATAAATTCCTTTCCTTTCTTCTTTTATGTTACAATTAGAACATCATTTCTTAAAAAAAATGAATGTGTGGCCCTAGTTGGTTTAGCTCAGTGGATAGAGCGTAGGCCTGCGGACTGAAGGGGCCGGTTCTATTCTGGTCAAGGGCACATGCCCAGGTTGTGGGTTTGATCCCTAGTAGGGGGTGTGCAGGAGGCAGCCAATCAATGATTCTCTCTCATCATTGATGTTTCTATCTCTCTTTCCCTCTCCCTTCCTCTCTGAAATCAATAAATATATGTATATATTAATAAAAAAATAAAAAGTAAAAAAAATGAATAATATGTGTCCTGAATTTCATTTTATAATAGTAAAGGAGGCATTATATTTTTATGGACAATATATTTTTAAAGAGGAGTTGTTTACGTTGGGGTGATGGGTATATTGGGGTTCAGCTAGTTCTTGAGGAGCCTTCATACAACTCACAAAGCAACACGATGCCCCCAACTCAGCGAAATTGTGAAACATGATGAGGGTGGTGGTCGGGGTGAGTTCAGAGGAAATCCTGCATCACAGGCTGTGTACTAGCCCGGGTGCTGGGGGCGAGGGGTGCACAGTGGGGTCTGGAGGAGTCTACTTTAATAGGCAGATGCAAATGCCATGGGTTTGCCTGTTCAGGGGTTAGGCGCCTCTCAGGGACTAGGACTCCTCTGGATCCCCTCCCCCGAGGGAGGTTTAATTGTCTCTTTGCAACCCTGCCAGTCCCATAGCTTTGTTCAGGAAACCCAACCCCTGAGCCAAAGTCAACGCCAGCTGAGCCAAGCCCAGCCCAGCCCAAGTCCGAAGGTTCCCGAGTTCCCAAGAAGGGGGCCTGGGAAGAAAAGGTGGAAGGATGTCCCCACTCGAGGAGGAGCCTCGGGACCCGGAGGGCAGGGCAGCGCAGCGGGGAGGAGAACCTTCCAGGCCTGCAGCAGCCAATGGTAGCTGCCGCTGAGGCCTGAGGACACCTGAGGACACCTGAGGACACCTGAGTCACTGGAAGGGCTGGCCCAGGAGCACAGCCTGCCTTCCTCTGGGATCCTAGAACTTCTGCCCCACCCTGTCCTGAGGCTTCTGTCCTCACTGGTTCCCAGTCCCTCCTTCCTTCCTGTGCCAACCTCTCTGGCGGCCACGTAGGGCCAGTCAAATCCTGCTGCTGTGCAAGACCATTAATAATATCAGTCAACACTCCTGGAGCCTTTGTAAATGGGAGGAGCTCTCCCCTCCCCCCCCTTTCAATGAATGACTTAGTTAGTCCTCCCATTTTAGAGATGAGTCACTGAGGCACACAGCAATGAGGGAACTAGCCCAGGGGCGAGTGGGGTAGCCTGTTCACATGCTCCCTTCTCCAGGAAACCTCTTGCTCTCCTGTGCTGAATGGCTCCATGCTGATTCTCTGGGGAATTTTCTCTGTGGGGCTCTGTTTAGCCTCCCTGACGGCACTGGGCTCCGCCTCCACCAGAGGCAGCACAGAGGAGGGAGACCAGGCCCTGTCCTTAGGGAGGTCACACTTGGCCTCAAGGACTCTCAGTGCCACCAGGCTGGGCGGTGAACTGTGCTGGGCACAGGCCAGTGGGCGGGGCAGGGGAGCCAGGGAAGAGAGGCCGGCAGGGGGATGTGGTGGTGGTGGTGGGGAGGGTTCCTGCAGGAGGCAGCAGGGTCTGGAAGCAGAGAAGAGGTGACGGCCAAGAAAATGCCGGGCATCTGGAGGCCCGTTGTCCTGGGCTGGGCCTAGACATATTTTCTGTGTGTCCACCCAGGGAGACCCCTCAGGTCCCACCACGTGTCACCAGGCCCACAGAGACACAGGGCCCAGGCTGGCTGTGTGTGCCTGCTGGGGGCTGCCACCTAACAGGAAAGAAAGATCAACCAGGAGCCTGGGGTGGGGGATAGTGAGGCAGAGTGGGGACCTCTGCCAGGTCATTTCATAGATCTGTGTGCACAGAGAGAGACACACTCACTGACAAGCACTCCCAGACACACAGACCCACAGACACACATGCAAACATACATACATGTATGCTTTCTTGGACCCGGAAAGACCAGACACAAGTAAACACAGGTACAGAGACATGACTTGGACACATATGCATAGACATGATAGCGTATCACAGACATTCACACTGACACACACACAGCACACCAGGCAGATACATCTGGGCACATCCAGGCTACACAGACACACGCTCTGACACACAAAGACACTCCAAGTCAGACATGGAGCTCAGACCCCAGAGGCACAGAAACAGAACCAGGCAGACACAGGCCGGGAGCACACACCTGCACCTGCCACTGCCTGAACATGTGCAGAGCCCCACACAAGGTCACGGGCAGGCTCACTGCCCGCTGACCCATACCTGCCCTCCTCTGGATTCCTAGCTGGCTGCCTGGTGACAGGGTGTTGGTTGCACCTGACAGGCACCCTGTGCCAGCAATGACCTCATCAGGATCACGAGGGTGGCCGGCCTTTGGGGCCTAGGAGGGATGCAGGGGGGCCTAGAGTCTGGGGTCCCGGCCTCTCTGAGCTGTCCACGATCCAGATCGTACTGCTGGGGCCTGTCGGTGGCCTGGCCCCGCCTCCATGTCCCGGTGGGAGCATTGGCAGTGGGCAGTACCCCTGGACCCAGGCTTAGTCTCAGGGGCTGAGGAGACAGGAGGCCACCCCTCCTTGAGCGGGGGGAGTGAAAGCTATCGGCAAGGCTACTCACACCCACTGATGGTGCAGGAGGCAGAGAGCCTGGGCACCAGGTCCAAGAAGGAAGGACCCGGAGGGGTCACATAATTGTCAGCCTCAGAGGCGGCAGGGGACTGGGGAGCCAGGAAGACATCACCCCTTTTCCTGGGGAAGAGGGGTAGGGACCTCCAAATGCAGAGCTGGCTGCACTCACTCTTCTGAACCCCAATTTGTATACTCTCCTTAGGTAACAGCTGGGAGCTCCCCAGACTTGGGGTGAGTGATGGGAACATGGAGGTCTGTTGGCACCGTCCTTCTTTGTCTGGCTCCCCAGCTTTTCCCAGCATCCTCTCCTCACTATCCAGCAGCCCCATGGTGCTGCTCCCTCCAACACTATACAATGAGTGTGATATGGATCTGGGCTTGCACTGTGAGAACTGGAGCTCCTTGGGGGTCTGCAGCGCCCCTCTTCCTACGGGGGGAGGGGGGGGCTCACCTGCTGTTTCATTTTCCAGCTCGGCCTCCTCCAGGCACTGCCTGTGCTCCGCCTCCATCATTTGCATGTAGTCACACATATCCCTCACATTGGCCCAGTCCCAGCCGCTCTGCGGGACAGAGACAGGGAAGGGACCATCAGCCTTGTCCATGGCCCACATCCCATCCACAAACTCCCAGGAACATGGGTCAAGCAAGTAAGGCCTGGTCACTGGACTGACCCGAGTTCCAGTCTGAACCCCAATCCCAACCTCGACTCAATCCCGATCCTCACCCCAGACCGAGGCCTGACCCTGACCTGGATCTTACCCCAAATGTGCTCATTGTCCCCAAAGCTTGGTCTGCCTTGAGGACCCTGTCATGGCTTCCTGGTGGCTCCCCAACCGTGCTGTGGTTATAACAGCTGTGTCTCTTTGAGAGTAGCACGGCCCACACAGGTGAGAGGGCCTCTCCTTGGAGCCCAGAGCTGGCCCACGGACTCTGCCATTGTCCAGCTTGGCGGGCGCGCTGGGAGTCCTCTGTCCCGACCACAGTCCCTGTGACGGGCGGGGCCCGGCTAGTGCTACCTCACTACAGGGGCTGGACCCTGGCCTCCTGTTCCTGGAGCCAGACCTGGAGGAATCCAGGAGCCTGGCTGCATCTTCCCGCCTGTCCCCATTCTAGGAGCCTGTGCTCAGTCCCCAGGTCACCATCTAGGAAGGGCACACTAGCCCTCGTTGCCAGACCTCAACTGCCTTCCTCTTAGCTTTTGAATAATTCAAGCTAAGTCAGACCTACTGCTGGGGGTGGGGGTGGGGAGGTTAAGGAAGTAAGGGAAGCCCTCCCAGGATGGCTTGCCACCCACCAGGCCTCCTCTGCCTCTGGAAGGCGGGGAGAAGCTTGAGCTTTCTCATCCCCTCCCCTCCGCTCCCCTGCACCCTACCTAGGGATCAGGGGTGGGGCCAGACCTGTGTGCCAGTGGAACATTGGCACTGGAGCCAACATGTAAGTAGGGGTGATGGATGCCTAGGAACAGCCGGAAAATTCAGGTCTGGGGAGCCGTTGGGTGGGGAAGGGCGGGTAAGGCCTCCAGGGAGGAACTGCTGGGCTGGTGGCAGCTTCTGCCTGTCTCTTTGACTTTAGGGAAGTGGCTGCTGCCCCTGGGATCCCACATATCAGCTTCCTCATTTCTGCTTAGGGAGGAGAATGTCACAGTCCCAAACAGGGCATCGGGGGAGAGTCCAGCAAGACTGTGCCAGAATCAGATTCTCAGTGTGTCTTCCAGCTTGTCCTCCCCGCCAGGGGACAAGGCCTCAGTTTCCCTGTAGGCTAAATGGTTCTTAACTACCTCCCCTGATGACTGAAAGGGTTCTTTTTAAAAAATATATATTTTATTGATTTTTTTACAGCGAGGAAGGGAAGAGGAATAGAGAGTTAGAAACATCGATCAGCTGCCTCCTGCACACCCCCTATTGGGGATCGAGCCCGCAACCAAGGTACATGCCCTTGACTGGAATCGAACCTGGGACCCTTCAGTCTGCAGGCCGACCCTCTATCCACTGAGCCAAACCGGTTAGGGCTGAAAGGGTTCTTGTAGTGGGAAGACACAGATTGGAGGAGTTCCCCCTTATTTCCTTTCTTTAAGAGGGTCCTCATCTAGCCCGTAGGCACCCAGGGTGTGACTTTGACCACTGTTCTAAGTGAGTTGACCTCCCTGAGGGATAAGTGCCCTGGGTGCCAGTGAGCTACCTCTCCACTGCTGTAGGGAGGGGGGTGGTTCAAGCTGAAGCCTGACCACTCAGTGCCCAAGGGCCACACGGCTGAGTCCCTTCCCCCTCAATGGCTCTCATCCCCTGTTGAAGGCTTGGTGGAGCCTCATTGTCACAGAGGTCCCCGACTTTCCCAGTATAGCGCCACAGCTGACCACGCCCAGGTGCGAGGGAAATCCTCCTTGTCCAGGATGTCTTTCAGACTCTCCCGCATCCAGATCTCACTCGCCCACGTGCCACAGGCCTGGAGCCACAGTGACCTTGGCTTCCATCTTGTACCATTCACTTTACCAGACAATTGGAGTAAAGACATTAGCTGGTCAGTCATTTAAAACTTGGCACATTGAAAGTAACACGGATCTGTTATGGAGAGGATGACGTTATTTGTATAACTTTCAAAGAAAGGATATGAGACTTCCAAGGAAATGCACTGTGATCCCTCTTTGGCGTCACGCACTTCCTCTCTTGCCCATAGGGTTGTTCAGATGAAACACTCCAGATGCTCTGTCCTAAGGGATCTGTGGCTGGCTCAGGCATGGGAAGAGGGGTGGCCAGATGGATCCCAGAGGTGGCCTCTGGAAGAGGAACCTGGGGACTGGCCACTCCAGGTTGTGTCCCGCCATCTTGCTTGCTTGGAGTTCCCAAAGTCCCTTCTCGGTCCCATTGTCCACCAGCAACAGGGTTCAGTCTGCCTTCTGGCCCCTTCCCAGCCTTGCCTGCCTCTCCTTCCCATTCCTACCTCTTATCTCCCACAACACGGATGGTAGTGGATCTATTGTTGCTGCCTTCTACCATCCTTTACCCTCCTCTGGTGCCATGTCCTCATCTCCATCTGGGAAACCACCTTCTTTCCCACTCCTAGTTCATGGGTTCTGATGATCCCTCTTCTAGGGAATCAACATGGGACCAGACTTGAGCCAGTCAGAGTATTCCTGGCCACAGTGTCTGGCACATGGCTCAAGTCAAAGCCAGGACGCTCATTCCTGGGACTCTGGATTAACCAATTAGGCAAGTGGATTTGTTCTTTTCCACCGGACTGGAAACCTCAAGGGATGAAAGGGCTGGAGCTTCTGCTACCATCTTGTTGCCAAGTGGAACACGATGTGGTAGGGCTTTGAGTGCCACACAGCTAAACGCAGAAAAGAGAGATGGAGAAACACTGGGCCCTCCTGACATGGTCGGCTTCCCTGGGCAGCCATGCCTGAACCCAGCCCTGCTTCCAGCAGCATGAATCAATACCTTTCTTTACAACTTGAGCCAGTTGAGTTTCTGTCTCGGTAACCTAAAGAGTCCAGACTTGAGCTCTGAGGACAGGACAAGGGATGCCCTCGCTTGCTGGGCCCTCTTAAGCTAGGGTGTGGCTGTTTGACCAATAACATTTCTTTTCCCATCACTGAGGGCTTCAGAGGATTCTTGGTGACTTCTGCCCGCCATCGTAGGGTGGAAGGATGTTGGGTCAACTTCTCCAGCCAGTTCTGCTGCCCCCAGCAGCACAGTCACAGAGCACTTCTGCACAGGGAAGTAGGAGCCCCCAGAGTAACCCTGATCCTGGGGTGTCTCTGAATAAAGTTGGGGGGGGGTGTTTGGAAATGAGCTCTAACTTCACCACAATGTAGTTGAGTGCTGGGCCCCATCTGGAGAAGGGTAGAGGAAACAGGGACCCAAAGAGGGCTGAGGTCACCCAGCAAATGGACATTCCTAGAAGGGACCAAAATTTCTGACCATTAGTCTGGACTACATCGATCTTTCTCCACCATCTCGTCTTGGGCCATCTGGTCAACCATTGCCCTTTGGGCCAAGGCAGCTCCCTCTAGCCTTTATCACTGAGGAACGCAGGCAGACTTTGGACTTCCTCTTCCACTTATTTCCCTATTCTAAACATCCTCATTACCCCTCTGGAATCCAGACACACTAAATTGGAAAATTCCCAGCCGGATACAGGCAAGCCTGCTGATCCATGGAAGGGTTCCAGGGTAGGATAAGCTGGGGTGTGGACTTCATAGAGAATGGGTAGTAGAGGTGGGAGGGTCTTTGAGGATGTGTAGGAAGTGGATAATTAGAGGTGGAATAAGAACATTCCAGAAAGTAGGAGCTGTGTGTACAGAAGCATGGAGGCATGAAAATGCTTAAAACATTCAAGGTTGCAAGAAGCCTTGTGTGGCTGCAGCAAGGAGCCGTGGGGTATCAGGAGACAAGTTGGGAGATATTGACAGGGAGGGGCCAGGCTTCATCAATTCCTGCCGGGACTGGTACAGTAGTTTTCAGCCCCAATACCGACAACCTGAGGGATCTTAATAAAATGTGTATCCCCATCCTCATTCTCCTGCTTCAAATCTCTGATGGTTCCTAGGAGTCAAAGCCCACACTTCAAAATGCGTTCAAGGCCTATATCTCTCAACTTGTTTCCTGATGCTCCATGTGGAGAAGAGAAAGCAGGGCTTTCCCAAGCCCTCACCCATCACTGTGCTGAGGTCCAAGTGAGCTTGGAGTCAGCCTGGTCTTGCAGTTGGGTTGAGGCTAGAGAGTTTCGGGACATACAGGGTCTCCAACACCTTCTCTATGACAGTAGAACCTGAGCCCAGAAGAAGGGACCTAAGCAAGCGCGAGGGAGTCCACAGCATCTCTTTAGTCCTGGTCCTCTGTGTCCCCTGCCATGGAGTTGGCTGGATGTGGGAGGTGACTGACAGAAAGTTGGCAGGAGAATCCCAACTCTCCGGTTGGGGCCAAGGATTAACCAAAGTTTGTTAATACCATCGGCTCAGCTGAGGGCCCTCCTCTCTATCTCCACTTCGAGGGGCTTGGGAGAAACCCTGCCTTCTCTCCACATGGTGTTCCTGAGATTTGGGGCAAAGGCTGTGGAGGGTGAAGGTGCTGGGAGTTGAAGCTGTTAGACGCTAGGGGCTCAGAAAGACAGGGAGGGCCCAGCTCACATACTGTAGGCCATCCCCAGCTCCCTCAAGGGGAGCCCGAGACCATAGGCTTGAGTCAGAACCCCCAGCCTCATCCAGGCAGGAGGAGTCAAGGAAGACAGAAGCAGTATGCTGGGGAGCACTTCTGAGGAGCAGCTGGTCCCAGAGGCGACTACAATGCAGCAGGTTGGATTAGGTGAGACCGGAGAAAACTTCCTGCATGCAAATCACCGAGCACTGGGAGCCACCGTGAATAAGGGGGCTTTTTCCTGCCGGGATGGGGGTGGTTGGCGGAGTCTGGTGATTGGGGAGTAGAGGATAGGGGGCTCAGGAGTGGTCCCACTAACCATTCCCCCAATGCCATCTTATATCCCATATTTCTTTAAGCCCACCCCAATTGAAATAATGGGGCAACAAAGAGTCACAGGGGAAAGCTGAGGATCTAGAGAGAAAGGCACATGGGAGCATCACCCAGCTTCC